CTATACATCACATTATAAAAATATTAAATTATATAAATGATATTGTGTTTTTTTTCGTAACATTTTGCATTGAATATTCTGTTTAACTCAGAAATACATTTCATTATAAAAAAATAAAATATGTATTATATAAAAATATATCTTGTACTAAAACCAGTGTTAAAGTTAAAAATGTGTGTATTTATTAGTTTTAGTTGTCAATAACAAAACTGAATACATCACATTATAAAAACAAAATATAATGATCTATGCAATGTATAAAAATATATATATTTGTGTGTCTTGCACAATGACCACAGCTTTAAAGTTTTTCTTCATAATCTGATGCATTTGAACAGGATATTTAATGTAACACATATGCATATAATTCTATTTATTATTATGTTTCTCAGAAGCGTAGATATACTCAACATTATGAAAGAAAAAAATTATATAAAGTAAATAAATCAAATCCTGAGGCATTAAATCAAGGCCTGCCCTACATCGCTTCCCACTGAATATTCGATTTCACCCAAAACATTATTAGGTCATTTAAAGTAGATCTGAAAGTAGGATGTTAGCAGGGTGTCACGGGTGCCTGCAGAAATCAAACAGAGCATGGCGTCAGCATCAGTGGGAGGTGGTCTTTAGCTATTGTCATCGGGGGTCATAAACTCTTGCACAGCACTGGAAGTTGCTAGGCAGTGCAGTAGCCCTTTAAATCAGGGTCATGAGATGTAGCTCGTTTCTGTATAGACAGTCATGCATCCTCTTTGGAGAGTGTTAGATAAATGGCTAGCCTGTCAGTGTCACATAGTTGGAGAATATAGTGGTGTTGCTATGGCCACAAGTAGGGGTGAGGGTAAAGTGTGCAGCAAATTAGATCTACTGAGGATTTTTGTGCTGTTTCTCCATAACAAAATTTACAAAAATGGTCCATCTGCATCAAAATCTTTGCAGATTAAATTAAGCGAAGTCATCAGCACTGGAAAAGATGGCCGCATTCTCAAAGAAGACATCCTGAACTTCTTAGCCAGGCAGACGGGGGCCATCTTACCCCCAGCGCCCTTCCAGGAGATTCGTCCTCCTCCTCCTGCGGCTGTAGCACCTTCAGCTCCAGCTGCAAAGCCCAAAGAGAAGATGAGCCCACCTAGTATACCCACTCCTGTGATCCCTAAACCTGTTTTCACAGGCAAAGACCACACTGAACCCATTAAAGGTTTGTTTGCTTGTGTGTTTTGATTTCGAAGTTGATTCAGTCGCCAAAATTTTCAACGAAGGCTTTCAGAAGGCGATGGGTAAAATTTTGTCACCAGTCATTTTTGGCTCTAAGGCAAGAATCTAAATTTTCAACAAAATTAAAAAAAAATTTATTTTAATGAAGACTTTCAGAAGGCGATGGTTAAGACTAGAATCAAATGCATGCTTAGCCAATCCCATAATGCATCGCGACAAAGTGAGTGCAATCAAAGCCGATATGAAGATTGTATGTAATTATTCACTCAGTGCAGAAAAACATTAACGAGAGTCGTTCGATCTAGGTAATTTTACACAATTTTTGTATTATGCATTTTAACGTTAGCTTAGCAACATGATAACGTTAAACTCAAAATCACTTGAAATCTATTGTGAACAGTGCAATTTACATTTTTCTTACAAAGGCGATGGTTAAAACTGTCAGCAGTAAACTGGCCGCAAGGCAGTATCACATGTATGCTTAGCCAATCCCATAATGCATTGCAACAAGTTAAGTGTATAAAATATAAAATGACGGACAAAAGCCAATATGACGACTTAATTATTCACTCAGTAAAGAAAAATATGAATAGGAGTAGTTCAATTTAGTTAATTTTACAAAAAAATTTTGTCGTAATATCCTAATATCTTTTCAATGTTTAGGGGTAATGTACTCCCTCATGACTGGTGTCAGTGCTATAAAGTGAAGCATCAGCTTCAGCTTTCCCCCCTGTCGTTTATCCCAGCGTTTACCCTCACATCACTAGCTCCGCACTTGCACCATCGCTCGTGACCGGAAGATAAGATGAGTCGTTTTGAGGGGGAAGGGAGGTTAACGTATTTGATTAAAGATTACAAGAGCACATGATTAAAAATAAAAAAAATGAAATGCACGGATAAATTATTTATAATAAACACTACAGTATTCCACAAAAAAATAAGAATTTAAAAATTTGATTTCATGGTGACTTTAAGTTGAAATCAAGTGTGAACAGCATGATTAGCTGAATTGTTAATGTTTTTTTTTTTTTTTAAACAAAGGCTTTCAGAAGGCGATGGTAAAGACTATGTCAGCAGCCCTGAAGATCCCTCACTTTGGTTACAAAGACGAAGTGGATCTGAGCCAGTTGGTCCGGTTGCGCTCCGAGCTGAAAGGCCTGGCTGAGTCACGAGGAGTGAAGCTCAGCTACATGCCGTTCTTCATCAAGGTATAAAAGTGATTTGTGGGGTGCAAAACTCCAATTATGCTTGGTTTTAATATAAGTATCTTCTTCACAAACAGGCAGCATCTCTTGGTCTCCTCCATTTTCCCATTTTCAACTCTTCTTTGGATGAAAACTGCACAAATATCACCTATAAGGTACCGTTTCCATCTAAATAAAGATACTTTGAATTCAGTTGAGCTAGATCATTGATTGCTCTTCGTTCTCCAGGCTGCTCATAACATCGGTCTGGCGATGGATACCAGTCAAGGACTTCTAGTTCCCAATGTGAAGAACGTACAGATGCTCAGTGTCTTTGAAATCGCAGTGGAGCTCAACCGCCTGCAGACGTTGGGAGCGGCAGGGCAGTTGGGGACCACCGACCTCACGGGAGGAACGTTCACGCTCTCAAACATTGGATCGGTAAGTTAAGAACTGCAGGACGACCTTTGCTTGCTCCTGTAATGTAGTGCTATCTGTGTAGCTACACAAGGAAATGACGTAACCTTAACGTTGCTGTTGTTGTCGACAGATTGGAGGAACCTACGCAAAGCCGGTCATATTACCGCCTGAGGTTGCCATTGGTGCTCTTGGAAAAATCCAGGTAAAATTTTGCAATAAAATTCCAATTTACATATAATTTGCACTATGTAGTTTGGCATATCGGTTTGTTCCGATACTGGCATACCCATTTGCTGCATTCTTGCCATTTTCTATACTAGCATTGTAATATCTATTCATACTTTTTAGATGTTTGTGAATTGAGCTTCACCGTTGCATTCGTTTGAAATAGTTTTGTTAAAGATTTAAAATTGTTTTTTTACTATACATTTTGTCTACGGCTCTTTTCCTAAACATAGGTAGAAAATGTTGCCTACATAGGGAACTTACTATGTAGGAAAAACAAGCGCGCTCCAATACGAAGGCTTTTAAAAAAATGTTGTTGTCGTATATGATGTACAGAATTTTGGCTAAGAACTAAGGTAAAATCACATATATGTTTAGCCAATCCCATAATGCTTTGCAACAAGGTTAGTGTAAAAAAATAATGGTCGACAAAGCCAATATGACGAATTTACATTTATTTACTCAGTAAAATATTAGAGTAGTTAATGTACTTAATGTTACTCAATATTTGTGCGTTATGTTTTAACGCATACTACAGTATTCCTCAGTTAGCTTAGCAACATGCTAACGCTAAACTCAATTGGAATCAGTTGCGAACAGTGCGAGATTTATGACCCACAGAGTTGCTGCCGATATATAACTTTCAAAATCAGTGAGATTCTCTTTCAGTTAGTATGCTGCCTACGTAGGCACCAAGGCAACACACTGGTTTTTTTGAACGCAGCCCAATTTTTAAAGTGACAATCTTTTTTTGCGTTCTCCACAGGTGCTGCCCCGGTTCAACCACAAGGGCGAGGTAGTGAAAGTGCACATCATGAATGTGAGCTGGTCCGCCGACCATCGGATCATCGACGGAGCCACCATGTGTCGTTTCTCCAACCTGTGGAGATCGTACCTGGAAAACCCCACTTCCATGGTCCTGGATCTGAAGTAGAAAGCACACTTCCTCCAAGCACATCTAGACGTATCTAGACTCTGTCTCCCGACACTAAAGATTTTTTGGTTACTGGGGCACTGAGCTATTTGAGCCATTGGTTTCCATCATGACTGAAGAACATTTCCACAACGTCATAAAGCTAATAACTGTTGTTTTTCTTCTTAATTCTGTCCTCTTGTTGCCTTACTGACATCAGATGTTACATCTACCAGAACGTATTGTGAATTGTTGAATGTTAGAGAATATGAACCCAGTGTAGCAGTATGAAAACGTACCTGTGATGTTTTTGTATATGAACTGTAATACTACATACTGTAAAATCTCCAATGGCGTTGCACAAGGGTTTTTCAAATCAGTAATGAACAGTGATACTTGTTAGTGGATAACATTTAGAAATAGTCTAGGTTCATCTTATGAAAATGTCACCCTCCAAAAAAGAAAATATATTTGGTATAAAGAAATATTATTTAAAATGTTGCTATTCCTAAAAAAAAAGAAAGATATTCATGAAGCAAAATATAATTTTTAAATTGTTTTTTTTATTCAGTACTGCTTTTCTTTCCACTCCAGTGTTTTTAAAGCAAAATGGAAATATATGTGATTCAAACTGGCTGTGGGGAATCTGTACCGATACTTCCTCTCATCGTCTATGGTGTGATGATTCTTGTTGGAGCATAATGTTCTGCCACTCTTGAATAATGGGAGTTTCCTTGAGGGATTGTTGTGCGAGTGTGTGAATGACGAAGGAAAGCGTTTTAATAAATTGTACATTTGAGGAACCGTTTCTCAGCAGTAAGCAGTGTTACTATTCCATCTCAAAACACGGTTGCACTCCAGGAGCTGGAATGAGCACAGCTGGTAAATTTGATAAGATTTATGATCCTTCGACAAGTCAAACAGAGCTTAAGCAGGGGGTGGAGCTTGTGTCTCATTCTCGGCTTAGATTTTAAAGCCTGGTGCCTCTATCTCTTGAGCACAAACTAAAAGGGGTTTAGCTAAGCATCTATTACAGAAAGAACATGCAGGTAAGACTTTCTCATATGTCTTAAATAATAGTGTAACGTAACAGGATTAATTGTATTCTAGGTTCACTATAAAACTAAAACTGATCAAATAATTTGAAATGTAACTTCACACCATACATGTATGGTTTAAAGTTTGGTGCAACAGAGTTAGAAAAACTTGATTTAAACTGGATAATGGATTGTAAACAATATCAAATAACACATTGGAAAATTAAAAATATTGATTTAAATTAGAATATTTGCAAATTAAAATAAGATCTTGATATAACATTATTTCTCATTATTATTGTAAATTAACAGAATAATCTGACATCCAGTTTTTTAATAATAAAATTAAACTAAAAACCTATTTAATCTGTAATATGCATTTTTGGGGTCAGTAAGAGTTTTTTTTATTTTTTTTATTAGCACATATATTCAACAAGAAGGCATAAAATGATGATGGTAAAGACGAAAGATTTATATTTCAAATAAATGTTCTTTTTTAGCTTTCTACTCAAAAGAAGAAGAAAAAAAATGTATCACAGGTTCCACAAAAATATTAAGCAGCAACTGTTTTCAACTGATAAAAATAAGATATTTTTTGAGCATCAAATCAGCATATTAGAATGATTTCTGAAGGATCATGTGACACTGAAGACTTGAGCTTTTCATTGGATTAATGACAGTAACAATTATATTTATGTATCCAATTAAACAAGAAAGAGGAGAAACAGTGGAAGGGACCCCAAGAGAAAAGTAAAAGCACCATAAGATGGAAAATGTCCAAGGAAGACCCTGAAAGAAAGAGCAGGACATCATCACAGATCCCCATCCCAAGGAGATCCAGCTTAACCTGGACGATGAAGAAGGAACCGAGAGGCCAAAAGTTACCAGATCGAGACGAGAAGCTCATCCACTACCAGACCATCCCAGAAAGACACTTCTCCACTGACCGAGCTCATGAAATAATCAAACACATCGTTGATGAAAGACTGGAGACTGTCGAGTACAGCTGCTCATGCTCTGGCATCTCCAAAGAACTGTCTGACTGTATTAAGACGGCTGTAAAGAAGCTGCTGTATGATCGATATAAGCTGGTCTGTTACGTGGCCATCGGGCAGCTGAAGGATTCGGTGGTGAACTGCTCTAGTAGAGCCATCTGGAGTCCCACTTCAGACACATTCACGGACTATATCTATAAAAACAGATCTTTATTTGCCGTTTGCATTTTGTTTGCAGTGTATAAAGAGTAACCTAACTGGCCAACTGGAATTAAAGTACAATTTTGTGTTTATTTAGTCATTTAGCAGACGCTTTTATCCAAAACGACTTACAAATGAGGACAATAAAAGCAGTCAAAACTAACAAAAGAGCAACAATATATAAGGGCAAATGACAAATCTCGGTTAGCCTAACACAGTACACGTAGCAAGGTGTGTGTATATATATATATATATATATATATATATATACACACACACACATACATAAATATATTATACACACACACACATACATATATTATACACACATACATACATACATACATATATTATACACACACAAAGAAGATAAATATAGATAAAGTAGAATTAAAATAGAATAGAAAGTGCTAGAGTTAGAGGGTCAAATAAAGGTCAATGACTAAATGACTTCTGCTAAATTACTAAATAAAAATGTATGTAAGGCGACATTGCACAAGTAGGCTATTCATTTGTATAGTTATAGTAAATACTCAAGAATATGTGACAATTTTATATATATAAAAAAAGATTTTTCAAAGTTTTAAATAAATTTATTGGAGTAGGTTTACATGAAAATGCTATTTTAGTCTTTCTCTACTTCATAATTCCATGTTTAAATCAATGTTACTTGCTATTTCTTTGTAATTAATTGTCAAATTTACAAGCAACTTCTGAGTGAAAATAGTTTGTACACCTTTCTTTTTTTTAGTTTATATCATTAAAGCATTCTACTAAAGCAGCAGCCACGACGTACAAATATTTATCTAACAGCAATGTTTTGAAACAGTCCTAAGCTTCATTGTTAATCAGGTTAATATTGCTCTATTCTTAAATGCACGTCTGGTGTGGTTAAGTATGCAAAAGTAGACGGCAGCTGCTCTTGTGCCAACTTTAGCATGTGACCACACTATTAAGTGTTGTCTCGGGTTAAATATGGACATTGGCCGGAGTTACGCTTCAAGAGGGAAAACCTGTGACAAACACGGTGCGGATAATTAACCCTAACCCTAACCCTAATTCTTTCAACACAGATCACACTTACTAGAATTGTCAGAGGAATTGTACCATTGGTGCCTGTCTTCTCCATATTAAATGGGAGCTAACCTGGTAAAAGCGCTGGAAGGACAATATGACCCAATGAGAGTGGTAAGCACAAGCTAATTCAAACTTTCTCACAGTTTCTTTAATGTCAATCACAGCATATGATTTACATAGTACTAACTCAAATGTGCCCTATCATCTCAAACCAAAACAACATGCAGCACATACATTTTCCTGGCCGGTAAAATAGCTTATCTGCTGCCCTAGCATACTGTGTGTGTGAGGTGATATTTGGGGCTCTGTATCATCATGACGGGGGTCACGGTGTGCTATGGGACAGTGAACTCTATCAAGACTCTGTGGGAAACCAGGATAAAGAAAAGCACAGATGAACTGAAGGAGAGAGAGCAGAGAGACAGGAAAGCAGTGGGTAGGTACGTCCATTACCGTCATGTATCCCATGGGAAGCATAATGATTTATTTTAAAGCAATGGTTCTCAACTGGTGGGTCGTGACCTAAAAAAAGCATTGCCGGTTACTAAGTGCGAACACTAATACTTTCCAGCATTAAAGGTTAAGAGTCCACTCAAACTCTATGGTTAATTTGTTACTTGGTAGAAGCTCGTCAAATTTGCCAACATGGAAAGTTGTTTGACATGACCACATCTCTTAAAAACCATGAACTAAATTATGCAAGTTAAAAGAAGATACAAACCATACTGCATCAAATGTGATTTTCAGGTCTGTTACTGTGTTGGGTTGCCACTTGATGTCCAATGTAAAATCTGGATCCTGAAGAACCAGTTGAGAACCACTTCATAGACTGTGCTTTTGTCTATCCTGAAACCTCCATTAACAGATTTAGTATAAGGAACGTTTTTGAATAGTTCAAAATCCTTGGCGTAGGTTGACAGGTGCCTGGGAGGATCGCATCACTTTGGCCAAGCTAAAGGGAAAAGTAGTGACAGAGGAAGGACGTGTCATCCTGCGTATTGAAAAGGAGGAGTGGAAGGTAAAGCATTTTGTGCTTTGTGAGTTTGAGGTCAGTTTCAAATTAGAAGTCAAAATCCAATGCTCCAGAACCAGACAACCCCATTTGTTATTTTAGGTACATGAGCACCCTCAATATACCATTTTTCTGAGCCCACACTGGTGCAGAATATTCTCCAACATTTCATAAAGTAAAGCGTACCTGCAAAGACTGAGGCAGAGGTGTCCAGTCCTGCTCCCAGAGGGCCAATGTCCTCCAGAGTTTGTGTTTAATTAGGGCTGAAGCTAAACTCTGCAGGACACTGACCCTCCAGGAACAGGATTGAACACCCTTGGTCTATGATATGTGCTGCGTCTCAATGTGCCTACTTATACTACACCCTTAAAGTATGTACTCTTTTGGTGAAGAAAAAGTACACACTTTTGAGTGTGTAGTAGAAGAGTAGGCACACTTTGGGACATACTGTCATGTCACACAATTGCTTCTTTAAAGGACCAATCTGTCGCACCTGTTACAGTAAACTGGCCTATCAATCATCTTGTCACAGTTAACATCCTCCACATTTCATTTAACTTCCTACCGTACTGGAGAGAAAAGAAGTAGCACATTGATCTGCCAGTCGCGTGTCTTTCATGCAGAGAACTCCGCTCATATTTTCTGCATAATGATGCATTTAAAAGTTAACAACCAAATGGATGTTTATAAAAGTTCACATTGCTGTTGCAGATGAAATATAACACGGATAACAATAAATAAATATTTTTTACCAGGTTAAATGTTGATTATTAGTAACTCAAACCCCTTTTTGTAAACCTCTACCTAACCGTCAATCGCGCGCATCCGCTACATTTGTAGTTTTTAACACATTTTATTTGTGTTTGTGGTTCTGGACCGAATCCTTCACCATAGCGCAATGGATTGTGGGCAATTTTAGCCATTAGAGTGTGCACGGATCCACACTTCAAAAATCAACCTGAAATAGTAAACCATCCGGGGACTTTTGGCATACTCTTTTCAACATTCTATGCTTTGGGACACACTTATTGTAATCTCACATACTATTTAGGATGGATAGTATGAACATTGAGATGCAGGGATGGTTTGGGGCAGGACTTTGGAGCAAAAGGTGTCTAATCCTGCTTCTAGAGTTCCTGCAAAGGTTAGCTTCAAGCTGCTCCAACACACCTGCCTGCGTATTTAAAGCCATTTTGAAGACCTTGATTAAGCGGTTTCAGGTGTGCTTAATGGAGGTTGGAGCTAAACTCTGCAGAAAGGTGGTGGCCCTCCAGGAACAGGATTGGACACCCCTGACTTCTAAAAGAAAAAGTTCGGAAACAATGCTTTCAAACTGCTCACGTATTCGCAGATATAGCAGCCTACTGGCTTTAAAAAAAAAATCCTATTGAGTGTTTGGTTTTCATTGTTTGCACTCTTTTTGCAGACTCTTCCTCCAGCTCTGGTTCAACTCTCCCAGATCCAAGAATGGCAGTTACACCGAATAGGACTTCAAAAAATCCCACAGTTCATCTCAAGCTTTGAGAGTCTTCTAGTCTTGGACTTGTCTCGCAATTCAGTCACAGAAATTCCCAAAGAAATCGGTCAGTACAAAAATGGGTGTCATTTGTACAAACTTTTACTTTCTTTAGCCAAAGTAACTCTCAGATATGCTCTTATAAATAACAGGCAAACTATCTCGGTTACGAGAGCTGTTGTTGAGCTTTAACAGAGTAAGCTACGTACCAGAAGAACTTGGTTGCTGTGAAAATCTGGAGAAACTGGAACTTGCAATGAACGAAGATCTGGATGAGTTGCCTACTCAGGTCAATAACATTGAACACATATGTATACACCGCATATTTGGTCTTTAAAACGCTCTATATACCTACTGCCTGTGCTTGCTTGGATCTAATTTCCTTAGCTTAGCAATCTAAAGAAGCTGTATCACTTGGACCTCTCCATGAACCTATTCACCACCATTCCAGATTGTGTGGTCAACCTTCCTTCTCTAGAATGGCTAGACATGGGCAGCAACATGTTGGAAAGTTTGCCAGAAGATATTCACAGGTAAAATACTAAACTACAAGCAACTTCAGATCATTACCTTTTCTGTCAATGTACTACTAACAGAACCAAGATTTTGTAATAAATCCTATGAACTTTACGTCCCAATTTAGAATGGAGAAACTTCACACCTTGTGGCTCCCAAGAAATGAACTAGAGTACCTGCCAGACAATATCAGTCACATGCAAAGTCTGGACACGCTAGTTCTGAGCAAAAATAAACTACGAGACATTCCTCCACTTATGGAGGGCATGAGTAATCTCAGGTAAGCACTAAAGTATTGTTCAATTTGTAGAGTGTCCTTGGGGACCAATAAAAAAACTTGATGAATACAAAACAGTTTTTCTATAGGAAACCCTGGAATCTATTTCACACAAGAATGCAAATGCTTCTTGGACTGCGTTGCTAAGTATTGGTGATGCATTCGTGTCTGCATACTTGTGCATTTTATAAATGATTACGATTACGAAGTTTAAAATGCTCATTCTGCAGGTTTGTGAATTTCCGTGACAATCCTTTGACACATGATGTGACACTTCCTGACTTAAAAGAGGATGTAGATGAAGAAGAGAACGACAGGGAGATGTTTGGTCGCGAGTTCATGCACTTCTACATCCAAGAGGCCCGGAAAAGAGGTTATGCCGTACTCAATATGTATTGTGTGCAAAATTGGTAGCAGAACTTATTGTTTAATAAATGAAATAAACATGAAATTAAAGCCTTGAGAGCCCCTTAAAGACCATCTTTTGTGTTAAATGTCTCTTGCAGGATCCCAAACTTTTTCACATCAGTGCTAAATGTGATGTTGGAAGGCGTGTCAGAGACCGCATCTTCTTTGTGACTTGCATGCTGGCTTCTGTCTGCCTTCAGGCTTGATCTTCCGGTCCATCATGTCAAGTTTTGTTCTGTGAAGGGCACTTCACGTCTTTTAAATGTCTTGTCTATGCTGTTTGTTGGAGTTGCTGCTTTCTGCTAGTATGTCATAACTAATGTTTGTGGATGAGCTAAAATAAAATCCATAAACATTGATCAAATAAAAAGAAGCATATGTGTCCTGCACTTGAGCTTGTTTGTTTTGTTTAAGAAGGCTGTTGAGACTCCTCTCTATTCTGATTGGCTGCTGGAACGGCAGTTAGTAACACATTCTCCAATTAAATGTCTCTGCTTGTGTAGTATTTCAGGCTAGTTTCAAAGCCTTTTTGCTGAAGGTAATACACTCTGTTTACAAAGCCGTCCGATCTGTTCCCAATCTTCAACTGACATCAAACTGCAAGAAAAACGTTTACAAATGAGATCATTAATGCAATTTGTATTGGTCAATCAGCAGAAAACTCACCTGTTGAGGGTATCTGGTAAAGCTTCCTCGCTCATCTCATGTTCTTCCTCTTCACCGGTTTTATGTTCACTTCGTTTTTCTGTTGTCTTGGAGCCAATTTTTCTCATCCCGCAAGTGGCCCAGCTCGACATGCGCTGAAAGGCAGCAAACTCTTCCGGTCCAAGACCTCTCTGCCTGAAGAACTCTTTTCCCACGTAGTGTCTCCAGTCGCAACGGTGGTGGCAGCAAAGAGCGATAGCCAGTCCTGACACTATGAGCTTTTCACCAGTTTCCCTGCCTTCGGTTGAGGGAACAGGCTTAATATCATCACAAGCACCCTCATTCTGATGGAGTTTTACACGCTTGGTTGGAGGTTCATCATCTTCGTCGAAGCAGCTGTGCTCAAATAAACACCGAAGGGCCAGATCTGTGGAGACAAGTTGACAAAACTCAATCTTGTAGTACTGATACCGTAATGATGTTTATTGAAATCTTGTCTACCAGTTGCTGCACCACACAGGTGCTTCCCAACACCAATAACAGGAAGTCCTTTTTCTCTCAGAAGAGGGACATTCCCTGAAAGGTACAAAAAAGAAATCTTATTTATGAGAAGATGAAGTTTAAGATTAAGATAATTAGGACTAGTTTAAGAAGCTAACTCACGTAAATCAAGGTGCTGAATATCAACCTGAAGCCTATCAAAAGTTGAGCCTGCATTTTTGTGCTTGCCATCTACCTTAAAAAGACATGAAATTGAAATTTAACCTTACTTTCCAGTAGAAAGAACAATATTTTTTCCTGTACTTGAGGAAAGAATAGCTTCATGTGAATGACACCACACCTTAAAGCGAGTACTGGACCTTTCCACAAGTAAAAAATGGACATTTTCAGCTGCTTTAAGAGCGATGTGAATCCAGTGGGACAGTTTTCCCTTCCCTGCTCCAAACTCTATGTAGCATCTGTTTGGGCTGAGCAGTTCTAAAACCTCCATGTTTCCCAGAATTGAAGCCTGTAAAACCGGGTAACATTTCTTTAAAATAAGGATATAACCAAGACTATTTATATATAGTATGTGTGCTTTAGCAGTTCTGGAGTGCTTTACCTGTTGCTTGAGATGTTTAAAGGCAGAATCTCCATTCTTTGGGTCACTTAGAGGCTCATGTAGAGCAGAATGTGAGATTATGTTTTCAACGAGTTTGGTATTTAGTCCCGAGGAAACAGGTAAACACGTAAGAATCCTTTATAATTACATAAAATATGACATAACCAGATTTAATAGTCATGTGATAAAACTCAAATGACAGTTGGATACCTTTCAGTGCAGTTTTGAGTTTCACAATCAACTCATCCAGCTCCTTTTTGGATCGTTCAGCGATCGTTATCTGCATTGATGCATCATTATTAAACGCATATCTATTAATTAAAGCCATGAAATCTAGATTCAAATGCTCTCATAAGCAATACAATCACCTCCTCTATGGGTTCATCTTCATTTGCAGAACCTGCATTGATGTCCTTCACATAATAAATCTATAATCAAATCAAACATAGCAGCCATTCACACAAAAAGCATTGTGTTATGCCACATGGATTTTATTTTTCTAATGTTGTAGAAAAACATCACGCCAAAAAAATTAAGTATTCTTCAGAAATAACTGTAGGTGGAATTATTTATACATACAATTTCTCCTTAGAATTACATTTCTTCAGGTGTTTAGCCAAATTATCTTCAAATACAGTGCCGTTTAAGTCAGGAGAGAAGATTTTTGAATATAACAAACATAAAAGTTCAAAGTCTGCCACTGAGACATCGGACAAAACTCTACTTGTTATAAGTTTTAGGAATAATCAAAATGTAACTTTTAAAATAATCATAGATGATCACTAATGTTCTTAACACAAATGTACAATTCATTTTATTTCTCTTTATTTAAAAATGCTGACATTAAATGACCCTTAAAACCACCTCAGACTGTACCTCAATATTTCATATTGACTATGACAGCAGGAAACAGAGGTTAATTTTAAAATACACCTTTTCTTAGGTTTCAAATATGTCCTTAATGTAAAATAATTACATATATTTATATCAAAGTCCTTAAAATGCAAAATGTAGCTAAAAATCAGTTGACACCAGTCATAATTCATTCATTCACTTCTAGATTTGTCCATTTTCATATTAATTAATTTATTAAGAAATATTCAAGCCAGATATAACATTTCTGTATGCATGAATCTGAAACTCTGGAATCATTTCATTGATTCATTTTGGACTGAACTACTTAAAACACTACAGAAACTTTCTCAAACTCGTTAGAAGAGTGAACATCTTACTGTTTGGGGTCCAGAGGACAGGGTATTCGCTTTTTCTCACTCTCTTCACCCTATAAGGAAATTACATCAAATTTTGAGAAAACAATAACTTATTTGATCTACTAATATTAATAGGGGCAAGATAAGCAGTAGTGAATCCATTCAGAGCAGCATAACTTTGCCATTATAACGTATTTCATTCACATACAGCATTTGCATGCTCCCCGCAAAAGGTTTTCCCACTTCCAACAATCATCTCGCAGTATCATTTCTTTTTTGCTACATAAAAAGCACATCACCCAGCCCCAGGTGAAGGCGCCGACATGCCGTTTGCTACAGACCCCTCCATCCTGAAGACGCAACTGACTCACTTCCGCAAGACATTTCAAAATAAGAGCCATGGACAACAAATCTGAGAAAAAAAATCAAGAACGCATAAAATATTATTTATTTGTCCGTATAATCTTTAACTATTCTTAAACCTATTAGTAGTAGTAGTACTAGTAGTAGAACCTTTATCAAAGACTATAGAATACTATGCCTTAAAGGGACTTTGCTTTTATCGTGGCTGACTGTTTACGGTCATCATGCGTGTTGTCAGTCAGCTGTGTATTTCCATAATTGCCGTGTGATGTTAGTTTGTGCGCAGTCTGTGTGGAGTTGCACAACAGATTGGAAGATGTTTGTCGAAGATGCTTGTGAAGAACTTTGCACTATTAGCAAAGACTCACATGTGTGAGTCTGACAAACAGGAAGAGTGCAACACATGCTCTGTCAAATCTGTGATAAAGCACAGTTTATGGAAATCTTTTTTTAAATAATTTATGTTTTTATTGCAGAGTGACTCTGGAACAAGAATGGCAGCGCGTCTCGAACCTCAAGTCATGCGTTAACTTTTAAAATCAGGCAAGTCTTCTTTATATTTTTTGCCTCTTTTTAAGTTAGAACTTGTTTAAATATATTTAGTTGT